ATCCAGACGAAAATACCCAGGTGCACAACTACACATGCTGATCAACATTCCTGTAAAGTTTCATGACTCTATGTCAAATACTTTTTTTGAGTTCGAGCGACACAAGTTGAAAATTGCAAAATTTTACTAAGTCAAGGGCAATAACTCTAAATATACTAAAAATATCCGGACAAAAATACCCAGGTGCACAACTACACATGCTGATCAACATTCCTGTAAAGTTTCATGACTCTATGTCAAATACTTTTTGAGTTCGAGCGACACAAGTTGAAAATTGCAAAATTTTACTAAGTCAAGGGCAATAACTATAAATATACTAAAAATATCCAGACAAAAATACTCAGGTGCACAACTACACATGATGATCAACATTCCTGTAAAATGTCATGACTCTAGGTCAAATACTTTTTGAGTTACATGCGACACAAGTTGAAAATCGCAAAATTTTACCAAGTCAAGGGCAATAACTCTAAAAAAAACTAAAAATATCCAGATGAAAATACACAGGTGCACAACTTGACATGCTGATCAACATTCCTGTAAAGTTTCATGACTCTAGGTCAAAGACTTTTGTGTTACATGCGACACAAGTTGTAATTGCAAAATTTTACTAAGTCAAGGGCAATAACTCTAAAAAAGCTAAAAATATCCAGACGAAAATACCCAAGTGCACAACTACACATGCTGATCAACATTCCTGTAAAGTTTCATGACTCTAGATCAAATACTTTTTGAGTTACGTGCAACACAAAAGTGAACGGACGGAAGGACGGACGGACAAGGGTAAATCTAAATGCCCGCCACTAAAGTGGGGGCACAAAATAGTAAGAACTAAATAAAGAAAACTATAAACATATGACACATGTATATGCAGCCTGCCTATGTTTAAAAAATCTTTATTTCGATTAAAGGAATCTATGTCGGGAGTTAAAGAATCTTAAAAAAATATCAAGAAATTAATTTAGTTATATCATTTGTTTTCAATTAAAAGTAAATGAAAAATTGATGTTCACTATTAATAATCTTTTTCAGTTCTTACACATGCATGTAAAATTAAACAATATTTAGATAAAACTACCAATATAAAATCACTTACCTGGGAAATATTTCCATTTCCTTAATACATTTAGTTCCGTAAAAACTCCTTAAATTATTTCAATCAATAAATGTTTTTGTTTATAAAGAACATTCACATAATCTGTTATTAAAACCGGAAGTAACTTACTTTAATATAAAGTCGTCGTCAGACATTTTCTAGCCTCTTTCTTTCTCTACTACGTTGCCTGGTAGGTTACAGAGTGGTAAATTTGATTCTTATTTCATCTGATGCATATTAAATTTGCCGTTTAAATATTGTTTATTTTCAAAGCCACTTTTTGCAGGTATTTTTGCTAACTGGGCGATAAAAACTGTTGTGAGAAACGCTACTGTCACGCATGGCAGCCATCTTGTCATTTAGTTTAAATAATCTTATGAAAGTCATACTTATCTCCCTTTAACCATTTATTACATAGACTTTGTGTAACGGACGTTTTGTACTTTGTTTTATAAATCGCTGTTCCCTTTGTATCTCGGTTATAATAACACTTGCCATATATTCATCACACATGTATACATATGTATCGTATAGGGAAACAACAAATATTTTAACCTTCTCGAAACAGTGATGTCTTACATATTTCCAGGTAAAAAAACTTCTAAACGAAATGTTATAAGTGCGAATATCTTAAGTGTATTGTCGAAAGTCTTGTACGTGAGTTATTATTTATATGTGCATAATTTTATATGTATGTTTGCGATACTAAGGCAGGCCAAATACAAAAACAAAACAAAACAAAATGAGTTGTTTTGATAACCCAAACAATGCTTATGTCAGTGATGACAATTCCATTTTCTTTAATTTAAACCAAAGATACTTAGATAAAAAATTAAATGATACAAAAACTTGTATACAAAATTAAAGGTACATCATGCGTAAATTTCGGAATTGACCAGTAAAAAGGAAAGGCCGAAAAACTAAAAATCTGGAGTGAAGAAAACATTACACATGCGTTCAACGCTGTTCAAACAGGGACGATGAGTATTTCAGCAGCGTCCAGGGCATATAATGTCCTAAGAATGGCCCTTTCTGATAGTGTAAATGGAAAAGTACCATTATAGAAGCTAAAATAATAGTTAAATCTGCATTAACTAACGAGAAAGAAACTTATTCCATTTCATAGAATATATGGCATATCGCGGGTTTCCCATGACCTTTTATCAAATATTACATGTATGACTTAATTAAAGACTATAGATTTAAGAATCATCGTTTTGTTTCTAAGTAGCCATCTTTAAACTGTTTTGTTAATATAAAAGTATTGAAATAATTGCTTCCGTTTGTTTCACAATGTTTTTTCTTTTCTATTCTTTCCTTGATTTTATTGTTTTGAACACAAACCCCCGCCAGTCGTCGTTATTCTCGCATGTAAAGTTTGAGAACTCCTATAATATCTTCGACGTGCATTAAAGTTGTTAATGTCTCGTTCTAGTCTCACATGAAAGTTTTGTGAACTTCGAATATTTTCTATTATACTTTCATTACTTTTCGGTTTTATGTCACGCATCTCTACTGTAAATGACTGTGGCAGATTTTCCAACACGGTTATAAAATTCTGTAAACTTCCTGCAGACATTTCTATCCTCCCCAACACCATACGTTCAATATTCAACATGTCACGTGACAGTAACAATGAACTTTCATCTAGATTGATTACCAACAACGTAACATCAACTAATGACGGTGTTGATATATTTAATTGTAGCCAAGGTAACCACGTCAAGTATAACTTTGATAGAAGTGAATGTTGAGACAAGTTCAAGTTTAATCCCTTACAATCATAGCCATGTTCTTTACAGTATAACCAGTCCAATCGCAACTCTTTCATTGAGTTTTGACTGGAGATAAAATTGAAAATTGTTTCCAGTATTTTGTGAGATAACGTGAAACAGCCAATATATAAATATTGTAAGTTTTGTACTCGGGCCAAATCTTCTTCCAGATTATCTTCAACATTTGTCCATATACCACACAACAAAGTTACGGCCTGTATACTGGGAAACAATATCTGTTTTATCTCAGCCTCCTCCTTCCACCTGTCACCATAGTAAAAAAGTTTCTGTACATGACTGAGATCTGTGAGAGAGAATATATCTATAATTTCACATAAACTGCTGGACATTTTGATGTTGTTTATATAAAGTGATTTTATGTTGGTTTTATTTTGTTTAAACAAATGTTGTAACTGCGCACTGTGCACGGTGTTATCCTCAATGAAGAAATCTTGTAAACATAATTGAACATTTTCTCTTTTAGGAATTTCTTGTAAACACGACAGGAACATTTTCTGTATGTCATACAATGGTTTGCTGTACTTGTCCTTAATACCTGTCCGAGTTCTATAGTCGCGTGTTTCCTCGTCTTCATTTATCGCAGACATCAAATCATTTGATATTGCACACATCCGGTCAGCGTTCATTTTACTCATAAATTCATAAATTATTGACATGTCCAGAATGTCTTGAATATTTCTACATTTTTCTATAACAATCTTCTGAGCGTCACTTTGAGAACTTATAAATATGGCAGCAAAGAATTCTTGAACTGTTTTGTGGGAAAACGATACTTTACTAAACCTTTTTGTTAGTGACTTTGATGTACTTTCAGACAACATTCCCGAGTGAAGCGTGGATTTCATCTCGTCTGTTGTGAGATATTTTCCAGCGACTGATCCATCAAATACCAGCGTGTTTTCTTTTGTTTCACTGAACAATGTATGATAAGCTAACTTTCCTAAATGCATTAGGAGTGGGTAGTATTTCGTACAGTTATTATATTCAGCAAAACATTCTGGGATGTCACTGGAAGAAAGTTCCCGCAATTGGTGAAGCTCCCCGTGGATCTGAATCGTTCTCGATAAAAGAAGCTCGACTATATTTATATATAGATCACATTTTGAATTTCCAATTTGAATACCATCGCACCATAGGCAAATTGTATATATTAAAATAAGGGGCACAAAAGCAAGTTCGTCGTTTTGTCTCCAATTGATTGTTTGTATGAACTGGCTGACGTCACGTTTTAATGAATCCTTATTCTGGTGAGATTTTAATCTTTGTACTATCCTTTCTATAATTGTGACTGCCGAGTCTTTACTTAGTTTTGTAAGTTCTACCTTTTTTCCTATTTGGCTCGAATTTAGATTCAAAACTCCTAATTTCCATGGTCGAGTGGTTGTCAGTACTGTACATTTTTCTCGGTCGTTCCTGTGGGGGATCGATCGAGGCGATCTGTAACAATTCTTGTCGGGGTGAATCCATTCATCTAGCCCATCAAGTATTACTAGGCATTTCTCATTTTTTAATATTTTAAGCAGAACATCTTCGGGAAGCTTTTCTTCTAGACCCAAAAATGAAACATTTTTTTCAAATATGAGATCATCTATTGAACATAAATCGTCCGAATCTCGCAGTAAGACTAGGAATAAGAAATCAAATCCTTGCATACAGTCTATATCATCTTTTGACAAAAAATCAGTCATGTTTTCGTCTGGGTAATGGGCTTGACACCAAACGTTAGCCAAATACTTGGAAAATGCGGTTTTTCCGAGCCCAGCTTCAGCCAGTACATATATTTCTCGATGTTTTATATTTTCACTTTTAAACATCTCTGATAACAATTTGACCGGTACCTTTTCATCATTTCTTGTCTGTGTTGAGACTATTGAGTTTAGTTCCGGTCTGATGTAGAAAGAAGCCAGCGAAGTGTCTTTCTCTTCAAAAAGAGGAGACAGGAAAACTTTACTGTGTCTTGTTTTGTAGAATTCAAACAAACCATCTTTTAGCTCTGAAATGTATAATAAAAAACACATGTTATATAAATATTACTCAAGAATTTGAATAAGATGTAATTAAAAGAACAGATGATATATGAAAACTGTATGAATATTTGAAGGTACTTATATCTTACCAATTACAAATCATACAATAGTCTTTATAATTAGAGCCCTAACTACTAAATCATGCTAGTGGTATAAATGTAGTAATGTCCACAATATCATTTTGGACGATTTTAAACACATCAATTGATGATGATGTTTTGTGTTATATGACTGTGAAATTATGACATGATATTTTAAGTGTGTATTTGTTCTCCACCTTATTGTACATAAAGAGGACAATCACAGATTAAGTCCCTGACCTGTAAACCATTGTAATGTTATACAAATTCCAATATTAGCTGCTTAACAATGAATGAACGTAAGTAGCAACTTTGAACTAATGGGATAGATTTGAACAATTACGACTTGTGCTAATTAAACCCCTGTTACACTAGGGCGGCGTTCGCACGGCGTGCAAGGAAATTTTAGAACGCCGAAGTGAGCACAGTAAGATCGCAAACATCGCCCCAGCAACGCAGCAGCATCGTAGTGACATCGCATAGAACGCTGACGACGGCGCGCATTTTGAGCATTTTTATGTATTTTGTACCTGGAATATATGGTGGTCATACCTGTGGTCATCGTGTAAATCAAGAAGACATAAAGATATACCAAAACTTTATACATCACTTAAAGGGCTTCATTGAAACCGAGAAACTTGTTTGAGCGTTGTCGTCGAATAAAGGAAAGGTTTTGACAACTATGGACGAACCGGAACTTTGTACCTTGAATTTTTACATATGATCGTGGATCATTTTTACAATGACTTACAGTGAACATGCAATTGGTTTTCTTGTTGGCATTCATAATTATTAATTTTCAATTATATTATTTATTAATGAATATATTTATTATTTTGTTGATTACAAATTGTAATTCTTACATAAGTTTTTTTTGTGATTTCAGACCTTTCAACCTGTGTGTCCTAATAATATCCTTTGTGCTAAATGATGCCAGGAATCTTGTTGAAAAACTATTGAACTGTTTCAAGATAACTGTTTAAGGGGAACGTTTGGTATAGTCAAAGCTACAATAAATGTTCCGATCAAAGTGTGTGTCTATTCTACATTTAAAATTACATGTATGTGCACTTTGCATCAGCGGTCAATCTTTCAGTGTTTCCATTTGTACCAAGTCAAGATCACAGTGGCTTCTTAAATTAAAGATAACCTATGCCTTGATTCTAACGAATTTCACTCTTGAATTTTTTTAATATTTTTTGAAATTATCAGCGGTTTGATACTGAGTTTGGGTTTGGGTTTACTTTGATATATAAGTATATTAAAAGACAAGGATTTGTCTGATATAGTATTGAAAAAATAAGCAATTTTCTACAATTTCGTATGGAGACAAATGGACACAATTCTGCACAAATGATTGATGATTGACCTGTTCTTGGCACCAGTATTTTCAATAGGAATCGTATTACTGAATAGGCACAATATAATTTTACAAAGGAAGTATATGGTCGTCGCATTGGCAGGGTACCGAATGGTGGCTTATCAATTGTTGCATAACTAGCTACAATACTAGATGTAAAGCGTGCAAAAATAATAAAAGAATCCGTAACGATTTTATTAAAACCTCATGCCATTATTGTAGCTGAAGTTGCATGTTCCTTTAGATTTCAGTGATAAGGCAAATTACAGATTGCAAAAGTATATTTTGTTAATATGCAGTACGTTTATTACTTTTCTTTGTCTTTTGTGTGCGTCGACCTTTTGATCAAAGAAGTGTCAGCATCAGAACCATATCAACTGATTCACCTGCACTTGCGCCTGCCTATCAGACTAGTTACAACGTGTGTATAAATGCACGGGCAAACAGGTATAACAATGTTTTGCAGACAAAATCAAAATATAACCAAGTGGAGACTTTGTAGATCGATAGCAATGCAAACAGGTATTCAAAAGATGAGCCCGTGGAAGGGAATGTCCTACAAAATGACCTAAACGTGGTCCAACTATCTATCTTAAAACTTAGATATTAGTCCTTAGACATAAGACCTTAGTTATTAGAACTTTGACATTAGAACTTAGTTATTTGAACTAAAAATAGTTTTGAAAGAGCTAAGAGAAGGAAAAGTAACGCTGTTCTCAATAATAAAACTTAATTCAAGTTAGACTTCAGTAGACTTCAAAACATGAAACAAGACACTTATCTCATTTGTCATTTTATCTCACAATCTCGACAAGAACTTGTCTATGTCATACCCCCATGCACATTCAAGACACAGTTAATACTTCAGCTCTGTTACAATAATATTTATGGTAAAGGCCAATGAAATCTGTAGGTCTAATCGACTATTCATAGAAAAAAGAGGTTCCTTTGATCTCAGGGATACAATGATACAAAAAGGTCAAGAAATGCTAAAGTTACGGTAAAATTCGATAAAATCTAGTTCTGACAAATTTTCCCTAATTTGAAGAAACTCCAAACCAAGACAGTTAAGTGTGCGATAGATGTTCTTGTAAGCATTGTTCAGATGAAATGAAACATCGAATAAAAAGAGTTAACAAAATATTTATTTTTAAACGTATTGTTAAAAGTGCGTTTCTTAATCCTTCAGTTATGTTCAAAACATGCATGCACATAAACTTGAAAATAAAACATTTCATGTCTAATTCGTTTAATATGTCAATGAAGTATGGCGCAATCAATGCGGGCGAGTTAGTGCTGTTTGATACTTCAAGACATAAAATGCGTCGACTGTACCCGTCGATTGCTCCGTGGATGGAGAATCCAAATGACTTTAACTTTCTTTGTAACCATTTACAAGCCACTCAAAGTATGGACCTTTAGATTTCGAGACATATCTTCGCGTAGATGATCAGTGGCTTTGTGTTCATTAGTTCCTTCGGGATCGATTTGTGGCATTAGCCTCATTACAGAATCCCTAGACATTGCAATTGGTAGTCAGTCCAAATTGTACAACATCGATCGAACACTTGGCACTCCTCAGAATAACTTCAAATATGGGATCCCTTACTTTGTCTTTATAAGTGAACGTGTTTTGCGTCGGACAAGATATGTTAGCCTTGTAAAATAAACTATAAATAAATTATTTGTAATCAGTTCTAGCGCCCCTTTGAGAATGACAGCTAAATCCATGATCACAACACTAGATACTGGTGTTATGACAGCCAATTCCAAACATCCAAGCCGATGTAGACACCATTTTCGACGTCCTGAAAGGAATAAAGAAGATTCTGCAATAGGAAAAATAATCAAATTATTTAAGATCACATTACAAAACCAACAAAACTGACAGTTACACAATTTTAAATACTGTTCCAAAATTGACAATTAGGGAATTACAATAAGACCGGCAACTGATATCAGTTTTGACGCTTGTGTCCCTCATCATAGGTCTTTTATATTGCAAGGTTTGGCTAACATAGCTACAATTGACAAACTAGCCTCCTTTGCCTTTTATTGAAATTGGTTGTTTTTCACCACGCCTTTTAAGTTATACAGATAAAATCACCAAATCTTTTAACATTATAGCTATATCTCTGCAATTCTTAAAAAAATAAAATATAAAATTAAAGAAATAGAAGTTTAACTTACATACATCTTCATGTCTTTCTTGCATTCAATATGGCGTTTTCCCGCCTTTATGGAACCTAAGTTCTAAAAGCTAAGACCTAAGTTCGAAGATCTAAGTTCAAAGATCTAGCATCTAAGATCTAACTTCTAACTTAAAACGGCCTCAATGGGCTTCCGTACTACGACACAATTTAATAGTTTTTTCATGTGAAGAGACCACAAAATTTAATGTTATCAGCTCTATTTATAAATTATTTATTCATTTGGCGCGAAAATACCATAAAATGGCGCAAATAAAAGCTTTAAGGCCATCGCATTAACGCAGCAGTGCAGGAAGGTAAAAATCGGTCGAATTCTCAAACCCCCTCGGATTGGGACTAGAGGTTAAATAAGCCTTGAATAACATATCATTTTCCGTTGGCTTACTTCTGTCATGTTAGTCAGTTCAGAGATAATAACACTTTGCTAATGTTTTATTTGTCTCCTATTACTAAATGTTCCAAAAAAACCCAAAGGGCTATTTTTTTATTTATCTTTAAAGTTTAACTTGACCTTTTTAATTGATTTTAACAGTACACCAATACTCACTTGGCATTCTTTTATGTAAAAGTTTATCATTTTACTTACCCTTGGCTTGATTGATTAAGAAATGTAGTAATATTTACTAACCCTTCTTGTGAGTTTGATATTTTTCCTCAACTGTCTGTACTGAAGAGACACCTTCGTTACTTTTCACTATTATGAAATAGATATACATTTTATCGTTAGTTTTCTAAATGCACTCCTTTTCCAAGTTTACCTGAATATCTTTATTTATAAAACCAAATATTGTCAATAATTTGATAACTAAACTTTAAAACATTGCCGTATAGAGCATTCACATACATGTTTTGGTGATAACCCGAATAGCGACTTTGTACCTTTTAATGATCTACAAGAAATTGAGGACATAAGAAGATTTTTTTATTGTGTCCTTTCTATGACCATATACCAAATGACTGTTTTCATGATTTAAATCTAGGGCTTAACAATTCAGTGACAATCGAAAATGAATTAAAGAAAAGTAGCGAAATACTTAGTAAAGAGGTACATTTAAAAGTGTTCAACAATTTCGTAGGTCCATTTTTTCCGTTGGAAAAGGTTGTGCACAACCAAAACACTGTAAGACATTTCTTCTAAGTTATAAACATTTGTACTCAGCAATATTTCTTTCCTTTAAATATGTATTTAAACACACGGCAGACCATTTGAGCTATATTATTTAATTTTATTACATTTGTAATGAATTATAATGTCAATCACTTTGCAGAATAAATATATCTTATGAATTATATGATAACCATTTTGCAATAATTTTATTTTGCTGATCTACGTGAACTGTTTAAGCACTTCTAATTTAAAAGCCACTTTAATAAAAGATTTACCTACTAACTTACTTACTAAGTGTATTTATATTTCTCTACAAGGTATTGAAAGCTATTGATGTTTTTTTTACGAAAGTTGATAATAAATTCTGATTTTTTCAATAGCAATTCAATTTCAATTTTGTAAAGAGACTTAATCAATATAAGTGATTTGTAATTTGCCCTTTTTCTTGTCAGTATGTTTTCGTAAAATCTACTTTTCTTCCTCGGTTTTGACTATTATAATGATTCTTTATCTCCACCAGTCTTTTAGATGTTCATACAAGTATTTATTATTATTAAGAATTAACATTTAACAGATGTTAAGGTTGTGCAATCAATATAAGTAATGATAAACAATTACAATTATTGAAAAACATACCTGCATCTTGTCGTTCTTTTATCGCTTCGATTTCTTTCTTCATTTCAGTAAACTCTGCTTCTACTCCTTTCTTCACTTCAATAAAATCTGTTTGCACTTTTTTCATTTCCTCATTCAATCGATCAACATCAGCTTCATAGTCCTTCCACCTTTTTATTTCTTCATGTAACCTTTTCTCTTCCTCTGGATCTAGAAGACAACCTTCAAAATCGGCTATCGCTTGATGAATCTTCAGAGGTGGAGAACTTCGTCGAACAAGTATCTGAAAGGAATCCTCTTGAACTAAGTAGCTTAGCATGATTGTGGTTATAATTTTATTTTGAAAACCAGTAAGTTATTGTGTTGGTTTATTTTATTATGTTAATGATACACCCTTCGGATACTGAGAGATTATCAAATAAAATGTATAAGGGTATGTAAAACAAATAACCGTATTGTTAATCTATACAAACCTGTCATCGGCTGATTTTCTTTACAGACATTTTTACAGGTGCATCATCTTGAGGACAACGTTAAAAAGGTTTTTACTTTTATTGAAGATACAATAATCTTAGCTTTTTTCTGGCATTAATAAAGTTCACAATATGATAAAAGTGGACGCTTCAATGCTATTTCTATGAAACTAAAATAGTTATCACAGCACACATAATTATAATGTTAAATTACAGAGTCTATAACATCTGAAACGCTCTAGAAAATTCACAGTACACAACGCTCTTGGAGTTATGAATAAGAGGGACTTACATATTAATAAACCCTATTATCAAACAATTGTGCTTACCTGCTCAATGTCATTCCACCAATTTACAAAAACATTGGGTTGTATACCAGTTGTTGTAGGTACATGACATATCTGAAATGATTATTCGCAGTGTCATAGCGGATATTTCCCTGCAAATACCTGTCTCATGAAGATATTTAAGTAAACGTTTTACCAGAAACATGTTTGATATTTTTAGTTCAATGCATGTCATGAGAGATCTATTAATAAAATGATTGAGTTTCCTTACGTTAGACCTGAAGGTACGCCATGTAGTCAAAGAAAGTAATTCAATAAGCATAATACAGGGAAATCATGCAAATAAATGTTTATGCTCTTTGAAATGCACTTTTTCTCGTTTAGAAATAATTTTGAAATTTTTACGACAGACAATTAATTATTTAAGACAGTGTACTTTGTCCACATGAGATTCGATAAAAATTCTTGTTAGTACCATTAAAACATATGACTTGTATTCTAGAAAATATATGTCAATTGAAAATTTTTTAAAAAGTAACGGCGAACTTACTTCATTTCGATAAGCTTTCAACCGACATATGTCTGCCTCAACTGTTAAATCGGTTGCAATAGGTTTTGTGTTCCAGTCAAATTTCTTATTCAATCCAAAACACTTCAAGCATCTTAGAAGACAAGTGATAAGCGTGAAGTCCATCTCTGACGTAGTTGGGGCTTGACCACCCGTTGGAAACAATATGTCATATTGTACCTGTGTTATAACGCCGCGGCTTTTCAAACGTGTAATTGTTGCCTTTTCGTTATTTAAACATGCACTTAGGGTTATTCCTTTAGCAGACAGGGTCTGGTCAATGATATTTCTTAGAACAAGGAGGCCTCCATCTATGATGATAATTTGTAAGCGAAATAAATTGGCCCGGTTGTCTGGCTTCTGTGCCATTTTCTTTACTTTTCCCCACCAGGTTTTAGTTATAGCATCCTCTGTTAATAAACAAACATGATAATTATTTTGCTATATACTGTAAAATTGATTAATTGATAATTTACAAATGATGTTTCGAAACAGGAATATGTTTTCAAATTATTTCTCTATTTATAGCGATATTTTGAATATAACAATTGTCAGATCGTTTGATGAAAATAGAATAAAAGATTTAAAATGATAGTGGTATAGATAGGGAAATGGTCATGTGCTTATTTCAACTTGTCTGTTATCACGTCAGAATCTTTTGTTCTCCGTAACTTATACATGATATCATTATATAAATATCAGAAACGGTAGTGAGCATTGATACTAAATTATGTTTTGTATTTTTGTGGATTTGTTGTTACATAATATTTTAGCGATTTGTTAGCATGAACTGTGAAGCAACGTTTACGGAACGCAAGACCAACAATATTATAAACAACGGTGCACTAAAGGGCACAAAACGGACGATGGCAACTAGTGCTGAGAAGGGACCAAATACATACCACAGGGCAGCTAAAGTGTAATGAGAAGTGACAAAAATTGTTTAAGAAAAAAATAAGGGACATTGTATAAGTAGGGAATCGTGAAAGAGATACACGGGAAATAATGAAAGGGGGAGAAAACTTGCTAATACCAAACACTAAAAAAGACTTCACAAAATACATGTAACTTCAAACATTGAAACAATAGGTATATGTAATGTTATTAAATAACAAGTATCATATTTGTACGTTATTGGGAATGCAAATGTTATTAAACGCCCCGGTTAAATGATATTGTAAGAAAGCAGAAAAAACACGACCGATCACGTGTCGATCTGTTTAACCAAGGGCGGTGTACCGTAACGATCGTGTTATACACGGATATTAAGATTTGTTCTTAAAAATTCTGTTTTCAAATCAGATATCTGGTAAAAAAGTGGTCTAATGATAATTAAACATAGGATTTGTATATGCGCTTTTAGACATTTGAATTAGTCGATTATTTTCAAAGACGATATATCTAAGTGACGCATTTCATCATACATTATGCAAGAGATGAATAAATTCTTAGGCTTGTATACAAAGGTTCTTTCTTCAAATATAAAACTCAACAGCTAAAAAGTACATATATGTTTTATTATATAATTTATAAATAGCTTTTATATGGCTTATCAAATTTGCCGAAGCTTGTCTACTTTTCCATAATTTGGCCCTTTCTTTTAAGTGAGCGTATTGGCACGCTAATTCGTATTGTTCTTTAAAATGTAAAGACGGTAACTAAAATAGACTAATTTGACTCTTATTTACGAGTGACTCAACATTTTTTTCTGAATAATAGCAACAAACTTGGCTTGACGTCATGTCATAGTCTCGCGTCATTCGGGTGATTTCCAGACAATCTATTTTTAGAAGAAAAAAACGGTAAATATACTCTGATATTGACCTGTTATTTTTACAAACAGGTTGCTTGATAGCCAATAAGGGAAAGGCATTTAAAAGCTATTTATAAATTATATAATAGATAAAATTATTAAATAAATACTTGATTAATATTCAAACATATATGAACATTAAAAATTATTATAGCATTTGAACAAATCAAAAGATCATATTATTTATGATGCAACTGCTATGGTAACTGCCCGATAACACTTGCCTGATAATTATTTAGTAACCTGATATCAAAAATAATTCCCGCCTATTTTAATGGACTACATTATTTTCATTATTCTTTAATCTAATTATTATAATTATTCTACAATTTTATCTCATACCCATACAAGTCTCGAATCAAGATGTGACATTTATTACTTTTATGTCGTTTTCAATTACGAAAAAATCAGATAGCGAATAGTTAAGCACTTAAATGAAGTTACTTATTAATTTTCAATTTAAATAAGGACTTTTGGAATGATTCCGTTCTTGTAAATATTAATTTGGTTCTAACTGGGACCTACACCTGCGGTTAAATCTAATTGCTTCTGTTTTAAAGTCGTCGACAGTTGTTAAAGTATACACCAATGAAATGTGAGCAAGTCACGATTGGTTAGGTAAAACATACAGACCAAAACGATATCATATTTCTGTTTTGCTTAACTACAAGCAAAATGGTATTAAAGTAGGTTATTCAATATGCGTGTCAGAATAAGGCTTTACAACATTGATCTATTGAATCATTTGATTTCATTTATCATTAAGTTTAATCTTTTTGCTTATTCTGTTTACTGTTTGATTCAAATGAAAGTATAATATTTCGATTCACCGTTCTAGCAGTTGATCTACTGACAACTAATTTAATATTTAAACTTTATTTATATAAATACCACGAGTAAACACGTCAGTGCAGACATCAAAGTTCCGTTTTGCTTCGCTATTGAATAATTTCAAAGTCGGTCATTCAGATAAAGTGAATAAAATTAACAAAAATAATCTTATTACTAAATAAATGTTTATATTCAGAGGTTATGAAATCTTATAAAAAATAATTGTATTCTAATTGGCAAAGCATCTTTTAGAACATGAATATTTTGATTTACAAAAGAGTGGTTGAAACATTTTTCCTAATGATATTTTAAAGGACATGTAAATTATTTTCTTGTACATATATACTACACTTACAGAACCAAAATTCAATTCAATACACTTCGTTCTAATGACATGAATGATATATGCAAAAATCAATATTTAGTCAATTTGTATTCCTGAAAGAATATATAGGAGGGATCGTAGCATTAAAAGAGTTTACAATTTTAAGTATTAAAAAAGCCTTATATAAAACATTAAATAGGTAAAACGGATCTTATTTGGTTATCACATTGACACTTAGCTTATACTTGTTCTGTTTATTGGTGATATTAAAATGTAAATAAGACATTGTTCGATGTTACTGAAACGATTGTTTTTATAAAACTTGAATCGGACATTCATAAACAAAGAAATTGAACACAAATAATTGATAAAACAATGTAAATGCAAATCGAGGGGTTTATTTATCTTAAAAAAATAAGATATTTAAACAACCGCATATATATTAAACAACTTATAAAACATACAACATGTACCACATTATTGTTCGAATGTTCGTTAAAGACTTCGAGGGGCCAGATTTAGCACGAGCATGTGATAACGTGATCAATTAAAGCCAAGTATACTGTATAGGTTATATTTTGTCATTTATTCGATGGTTATGATATTACGACATAAATATATAATTATTCATATAAAAAGGTTGTTGGCAATAGTTCATTGCTAAAAAATGTATATAAGTACAGCGCCATTATGATACAGTTTTTATATTTTGTGTCATTGATATTTGTACTTTTCGTTTTAAGTTATAATGTTGTATGAGCTCTTATTTCGATTCTATCTGCTTTTTTTGCCTATAGGAAACAAACTAAACAAAAATTATGTATTATTCTTTGGCCGCCAAAATTGAACGAATATAATCATTTGATATAGTTTTGTAAATAATGTTATATCAAACTATTTTAACAGTTATAGATTTCTAAACTAACTTCCGTTATGAAAGCAAACTTTGCTGCGTACATATCAAGATACATACCGAAAATCTAACGAAAATTTAATTGACGCACGTCGCGAGAAAATTAGCCTTAATTACACGTACATAAATGTGGCTACAGGGATTTTAAATGACATCACTCTTGTTAGGAAACACATGTGAACACGGAAATGCTTTTTATCGTGTGTTATTCAGGTTTTAAAGTTTATATACCTTATCTGTTAGAGGAAAGTTTATAAGATGGTGAAGGAGTTAGAAGTAAGTGTCTACAAAGTATAATGTATGCCTTAAGAAAAATACAAAAAGAAACAAATAAAAAACATATCATGGAATTGAGCATCGCTTGAAAAATTGAACATTTTAATATCACCGATCGATGTTTATATTATACCAGTATGCTTTGAAATACAGAAGAGTACATTTAATTAGCAACATCCATACACCTGTCCTTATTTTATATTTATGTTATTTTGTATCGTAAGTCTATTGAACATAAAAAGTAGAGAAATAAATTTACTTTTTGTGTTTGCTCTCATCTTTTATCGGCAGATCTATCTTTAGATTGATATAAGAATAATCTTATCACCTGCATGTTTTATAATTACTTTATTACTTAATTTGTCATGAGTTACAGGAAAGATATATGTCTAAATATGCTACGTCATCCTGGAATAAAAATGGAATTTAGATTTAAATATTGATTAGTAGATGGCCTGTCACGCTAACGAATCGAGTTCGATTCCGGTCTTACGCCCACTTTTTTTTCTTCTTTTTTTTTCCATTTTGTTCATTTCAATTATTCTTCTTACATATGATCTGGAATCCTTTATTTGGATCATTTCGGAAAAAACTACTTTTTTATAAAATAAATTAAGACTCAAAACACTAAAGAATTAATTAATTAATATGAATTAACTGATACCATGTTTTACCTATTCCTGTGATATGTTTTTTTAACGTGATTATAAAGACCGTTGCTTTAAAATGTTCAAATACGCTGTTTTTACCTTTATCTTAAAGTAACATTATGCTATTTTTTTCGCTGTCGAGTTAAGTTAAATTTAGTATATATTTAAAATGATTGACTATTATAATTGCCTTTGAAAATATTGATTTTTAAAAATGTGAAGGATAAAATATAATAAGTTGCCTGAAATAGAGAAAGGTCTGCCCACTCTTATTACCAACGGAACGTTAACGATATCTATAGAATTTATTGTGATTCATGTGGGTTATTGATTATACACATGGACTATTATCTATAATTATTATAAAATGGAAACCTATTATGGAAAAATCTCAAGTTGTTATGAATTTGACCTTTCCACCCATCATTTAAACTTGGATTGGCATACTGTCACTTTAATTTATGTTTTATTATGGATCTTTGTTTTTATTTCATAGGAACGTGATCTATATAATGGGTCTATACAGCTTAGTGTTGCCACACGTGACTGTGAAGAAAAGATTGTCCCTTCAGTCAGAACGACAGTCTTCTCAATTTTCTCGCCAG